TTTTTTCCACAGAATTGGGCTACTTTTAAACTGTTGCCATGGGTTGATTTTCCCAAGTGGGTTAAAGGTTTGAAATATTGCATAAATTACATTTGACTGAAATGCTTGTATTGAAACATTTTGCATTCTACCTATGATAAAACTTTCATGGACTTCTACATTAACTGTTCCCTCCTGGTGGAATGACCTGCCCAGCTCAATCCAAGCAGCTGAGTCCTTAATATTTTCAAGAAACAGCTGAAAACACATCTCTTTCATCTTCATTTGACCCTCGAACTCTAGCACTCTCTATTCAAATGCTACTTCTAATTTTATCTGCTTGTTTTTTTAATTACAAAACTTGATCCTCTAACATTTGCACTCTCTATTCTATTTCTATTCTAACTACTTGTTTTATTTATAAAGAAAAAAGAGCCTCTAACACTAGCATTCTCTATTCTTTCTCTATTCTTTAATAAGTATCGGTTTAGGCACTGGAACCGTTTTAAAAGTATCGATTTGGCACCGGTATCGAAAAAAAAAACGATACCCAACCCTACTTCCAAGCAAAAAAGCCAATGGCTAGTCAGCAGTTTCATTGTTTGGTGTTTGTGACCATTCTGGACTGGACTAATCTGAAGGGGGGAAAAAAAAAAACGTTTTAAGTGTTATTTTAGTCTAAAAACTAACTTTTTGATATCATTAATGTCCATAAGGCTGATTTGAAATTGCGTTTTTGCTGCCCAAGATGGTCGTGGAGTGAACCGTCTTTCCTTTAAAAGGTTTAACTTTGGTTACATCTGAAGCTCCTGGTCTTAATTTACATTAGATTACATTCTTTTTTATTTTTATAATGTTAATTATTATCTTGTGTTCATCTTTAAGTATTATCTTTTGTTTAGTGGTCAACCGATATATCGGTGAAGGCAATATTACCAATAGTTGTCATTTTTTTCATTTTCAGCATTGAGAATGCCATTAAAACCTTGTCTTCATTATTTATAAAACATAAATATTAAACAAAGAAAGTAAATGGTATAAAAATTATATCATTACCTGGTCTTTGAGAAAATGTATTTACCAGTATATGATGATTATACTGTTGGGTTTATAACTATTTCTATATTTGAGAAAAATACTATAATAAGATTACATTTAGTTAATATTTTGTAAGATACACATGCATTTCTTTGCAGAATGTCATTTACCATCTTTAAACTAAATAGTGTTATATATATATTGGCTTTATATCGGCCATCAGCCATCAAAAAATCCATATTGGTTAACCACTGCTTGTGTTTATCTTTTCTCCTCCAGGGTGTCTCTTCCAGAGGAGCCGCCCAGCGCTCCGCCTCAGAACGTCATTGCCAGTGGCCGCACCAACCAGTCCATCATGATTCAATGGCAGCCACCACCAGAAAGCCACCAAAATGGCATCCTGAGAGGATACATCATCCGGTGAGACATGTTTACTCGTGTCTGGGGACTTGTAGTATCCTAAACACTTCTCTTTTTGACGCTTATTTCACTCTCTGTCTTTTGTAGTATGTTTTTTCCAAGGTCATGCCAATATGACTCTTTTCCAGCTGGTCTAGATTCTCTTTCCCCACAGCAGGTTCGTGGGTGAATCTGATTGCATTGTATTATTTCAAGGCTACTCCAGGATTTGAGCACTTCAGGGCTTTTTCCTTGCAGTCAGTGATGACAGTGAAATGGACTTTTTGTTCATTTATTTATATATTTTTCCTGTTCATCATTGAGGAAAGCTGAAGGCCGTTTTTGGTATTGCAAACATAAGTAATGGTGCCTGACCTTGGTCACCCCATATGGTCCTCCACTCAGCTCAGGGAAAACACACAGAATGCCATAACATTTCTAGAGTGGTTCTTTGTCGCCCTCTGTCGCTTATAGATGATGCTGCTGTACAAAAACCAACAGACAGATCTGATTATGAAGAGTAGATGACAGGGTGTATTTTTAGAGATGCTTATCAGAGCCCTTCAGAGAGGGTTCTCTTGGATAAATTCTGCGCTCTGTCAAAGCTCTCTGTACGTTAAGATCAGAAGATATCTGCATCTGTCCTTGACAGTAACAATTTGACCATCTGCTAATCTCAGGTATCGTCTGACCGGTCTGCCTGTGGATATCCAGTATAAAAATATCTCTAATCCTGATGTCACCAACCTGCTGCTGGAGGATCTCATCATCTGGACGAATTATGAAATTGAGGTGGCGGCATATAATGGAGCTGGACTGGGTGTTTACTCCCATAAGGTTACAGAGTGGACACTCCAGGGTGGTGAGGGTTAAAATTCCATTCAAATGTTTTGGATTAGTAACGTAATAATAAATTCCGTTCTTTTGAACTTTCTGTTCATCAGAGAATCATGGGGGGAAAAAATTACCACGGTTTGATGGACTCAATAATTATTTTTTATTTTTTTTAAATGATTTTTAAGGAATAGTTAATCAAAATAATTATATATATACAAAATAATTATAAATTGCATTATTTCAAACCTGTATGCTTTTTTTTTTTTTTTTATTATGAAAGGATAAATTTTGCAGTCTTCACATAGCTCTTTTCAATTAAATGTTGGTTTAATTGAAAGGAGCTACTCCATACAACTTGTGCCCTAAATTCAAAGTCTTGTGAAGTTATACAATAGCTTTATGTAGCAGACAAAAATTTAAATAGTTATTTACTGAAAATCAAACTTTGGTTTAAGGTCGCTGTGAACTGTTGTTGTAAAAGTGCAGTGTAAAGATTCTTTAAAAAATTCCCTTTTGTTTTCCATACAAGAATGACAGTGTTGGAACAATATGAGGCATATTTGAGTAATTATTCCTTTAAAATGCCCCTGCTTAGTTGTGAAGATGCTGCTGTGCCCCTTCTATAATTTGTGAAGTCAGAACTAATGAATCTTTTCCATCAATTTTCTGGGGTTTAGCAGCCAAAATATGCCACCAAAAAAAGAAGTCTCAGTCTCATTTGTTTCCATCTCTGACTTCCTTTTTCCATTTTACCTGTCAACCAGTTCCCACCATCGCTCCAGGCAATGTGAAAGCAGAGCCCTTCAACTCCACCACAATACGCTTCACCTGGACAGCCCCGAACCCGCAGTTCTTCAACGGTATCAACCAGGGCTACAAGGTAAACGCTGAAGGAATGAGAAGACATCTGCACTCAGAACTGAGCTGCTGAAAATGCATTAAATGCAGCTTTTATTTTTAGGTTTTTTAGTTTGTTGAGATTGAGATTTCATGCAAGGGTAGCTAAAGGTCTCTTTCAGCCTCCCTGCTCTCATTCCATTGTTTTCGTTTTTGCTGAGAGATCCGGAATCGATCCTCCTGTCATTCTGGTTCTTTATAGCCAGACTGTCTATGGAAAAAATTTTTTAGAACAATTACAAAATGGAGACAGTCAGCCAGACACATTAGTCTTAATAGCTTATTAGCCAGGTTTAGGCTCGGTCCCAGACAACAACAGCTGGGACTGGAGGGAATATTTGTCGGCATGCTTTTTCTTCTCTCTGTGGACTCATTCGAGAGCAATCTTATAACTCTCATTCCCTTTTTAGTGCCCTCAGAGGAGAGTTTCAAGTGTCTATAAACTTTGAAATGCCAAATAATCTACGATAGTATTGGGAAAAAAGAGGAAATCTGTGACCATTCAGCCATTCTCAATGGGGAATGAATCACGCGCTCTGATGGTGTTGTTTGAACACCATTATGCAAATTAGGTGAACAGGGCACTTCAGTCTATATACAGTATATATATATATATATATATATATATATACAGTACAGGGGTTGGACAATGAAACTGAAACACCTGGTTTTAGACCACAATAATTTATTAGTATGGTGTAGGGTCTCCTTTTGCGGCCAATACACCATCAATTCGTCTTGGGAATGACAGATACAAGTCCTGCACAGTGGCCAGAGGGATTTTGAGCCATTCAACAGACAACAGACAGATCTGATTATGAAGAGTAGATGTGGGAAAGACAGTGAAGGTGGACTCATCAGAGAACAATACATGTTTCACATTGTCCACAGCCCAAGATTTTCACTGCAGGCACCATTGAAACCGACGTTTGGCATTGGCACGAGTGACCAAAGGTTTGGCTATAGCAGCCCGGTCATGTATATTGACCCTGTGGAGCTCCCGACGAACAATTTTGATGGAAACAGGAGATTTGAGGTGCACATTTAATTTTGCAGTGAGTTGGGCAGCTGTGGTTTTATGTTTTTTGGATACAATCCGGGTTAGCACCTGGACATCCCTTTCAGACAGCTTCCTCTTGCGTCGACAGTTACTCCTGTTGGATGTGGTTCGTCCTTCATGGTGGTATGCTGACATTACCCACAAAGACTTGCTGTCCTGGTCACAGATGCGCCAGCTAGACGCGCACCAACAATTTGTCCTCTTTTGAACTCTGATATGTCTCCCATTATGTTGTGTGCATTGCAATAGTTTATGTAAAACTGTGCTATTGCTCTGCTAATTCAACCTTCACACTCTGCTCTTACCTAATGTGCAATCAGTGAAGATTGGCCACCAAGCTGCACAAATGTAGCCATGAAACCTCCAACACTATATTGGCCAGTGTTTTAGTTTCATTGTCCAACCCCTGTATATATAATAATAATTATTATTATTATTATTTTACTTCACTATTGTGACACAGACATAAAAAAATGCTTGACTAAGCATTATATTGCTCTTCTCCGTTCTGTAGGACGCAACATTTAGACTAATTTATCTATTTATTTATTAATTCATTCATTCATTTATTTAACTATTATTTTACTTCACTGTTGTGACTCAGACATCAGAATCAACTTAAAAAAAAAGTTTGACTAAACCATTATTATTGGTCTCCTCCATTTTAATGAAGAATAAAAAAAAAGAAAGAAAGAAACTGGATCGTTTATTTATCCCTTGCTCTTTTTAGCTGTTAGCATGGGAGCCAGGAAAGGAAGACGAGATGACAATAGTGACCGTTCGGCCGAACTTCCAGGACAGCGTGCATGTGGGTCACGTCACCGGCTTAAAGAAGTTTTCTGAGTATTTCACCTCTGTGCTCTGCTTCACTACGCCAGGAGACGGTCCTCGCAGTCCTCCACAACGACTGCGCACACATGAAGACAGTGAGTGCTGTTTCTACACATGCACATTCATCATTGTTGATGTTCAGTGCTTTCAATTTCAAGAACCAGCGGAAGCAGTATAACCTCTCACCCTGGTTTTAATGGAAATCACACTCACATCTCCAGGTATACTGTACCGATGAAGGGCTCACAGTCTGATCTCTGTCCTGTATTTTCAGCCCCCGGTGCTGTGGGTCACCTGAGCTTCACTGAGATTTTGGACACTTCTCTCAAAGTCAGCTGGAGAGATCCCAATGAGAAGAACGGTGTTCTGACTGGTCAGTTATTAACAAATATTTCTGCTACGGAAGTCATTTTTTTTCTTTGTTTCTCTGATGCCTTCTGCAAAATCAATCATAGTGTATGAGATAGGATTTATATGTTGTTTGCTAGATGGTCAAAAGTAACTTACAGTACACTAGACTTAAAATGCATGTGATTGTGGGAGAGCAGTTACAAAGAATTATGTTGAATTTTTGTCCTTTGTTTTTGTAAAACAGTCTTTTTTTCTCTTACAATTAGAGGACCTAAACATCATGTATTAACCTTACATATAATATTTAATGTTTAGTATTTATTTACTAGGTTTTTTTTCTCATATTGTATATCTATTCAATTAATACATGTATTACATTTTATTTATTTATTTATTATTGCAATTAATTTAAATGTTAAAATAATTATTAATCTTCAATTCCTAGACTAGACCTGTAGTTTAATTAACTTTCTCTGGAATTAATATACAATATATTTTGTGTATTTATATTTAATTTCATATAATTTATATTAAATATAATATAATATAATATAATATAATATAATATACTATAATATAATTGAAAAAAAAAAGTTTAATATAATATAATATAATATAATATTTGTTTCCTAGGGTATCGTATATCATGGGAGGAGTATAACCGTACTAACACGCGGGTTACACACTACCTGCCTAATGTTACTCTGGAATACAGAGTCACTGGACTGACCGCTCTCACCACTTACACCATTGAGGTGGCCGGAATGACCTCCAAGGGTCAGGGTCAGCTGTCATCTTCAACCATCTCTTCAGGAGTACCACCAGGTAAAGTAATGCACGCACAAACCAGTCAAAACAGTTATGGCAAATTGTACATTAAAACCAGACCAGAAATGGCTAAACATGATCTGAAAAGTCTTAATAGGAGTAGAGAAAACACATACTCTTTCCATGAGTTCCCCTGAACCAGCGTTAGACCACCACTGGTTTTAGAGCTCCATTAAAAGGACTGCAGAGGGTTATAAAGTTAAATATCCGAGCTCTCATTATTGAACCGATGCAGCACCAACACATGCAGCCCAGAGCCACAGAATAACTGACATGAGGAGGCCCTGGCTGCGTGGAGTTCACGATTACGACTCCCACGACTGAGATCGTTTCTCCTTTATTGCTTCATTAGACCGTCTATGGCTTCCAGACTCAAACCATGCACGAGCTGCACTCATTTAAAAGTAAATGTAGATGTTTAAAGATGTATGAATCCTGAACGGTCATAGTGTCGCACCATGTTACACTTATTACCCAAAGTTATACAGACCCTGCTGCTTTCATGACATTCCCACAGTGTTTTATTGGAGGCATATTTCATCTTCTGATAATAAGCTGGGTAGCAGCTGTGAGTGTGGAATGATTTGTACCACAGTTCTCATTCATTTCACGCAGACATTCAACTCTGCTTGCTATGGTTGCGTTGTGAAAACCGTAGATATTTATAAGTAGTTGCCATATTTGAGAGCTAGGGACATTTTGAAACGGTCAGTGTGTCTCTCAGTGAGTCAATCACTCACAGTAAAAATCAAAAATCAGTTTTCCAAGATGCCACAACATTGTGCAGCCTCTAGATGTAAAAACTGCCAACATTTTAATTCCTGAAGAAATAAGAAACTTTCACAGGTGAAAATTGTCATTTCTTTTTTATTTATTTCTCTGTATACAAAGTCTCATCTTACCAAAAGAGGGCGCCATAACACAGCTAAACATTTTCACAATTCAACATTTCTTTAATGTTTGAGTCCTGAAACCATCTTTTCTACTCAGGATTTATTGCAAAATTATATTCAGAACTAAATAAAACTCAAAAAATGTATGGTTTGTGAACTAAAACACACTTTTCTCTCTCCCGATACAGAGCTTCCCGGGCCTCCCACAAACTTGGCCATCTCAAACATTGGCCCTCGATCAGTAACCTTACAGTTCAAGCCGGGATACGACGGCAAGACCTCAATTTCTCGTTGGCAAGTGGAGGCCCAGGTGAGTCACTCTTTATTCATGGGGGTGAAGTTGTAACATTCTCGATTTGATCTTTGCATGAATCTCTCTTTTGCATGGATCTCTGTCAGGTGGGTGTCATTGGAGAGAATGAGGATTGGGTGATGGTCCATCAGCTGGCCAACGAGCCTGATGCTCTTTTTTTTTTCTTCCAGATTTAATTTTACATTTAAGTTTTATTCATTTTGTCATGGGTTTTTATCATTTTTATTGTACTTTTATATAGTATTTCTATGTAGATTTAATTCATTTTTATTTCAGTTTTTGTGATGTTAGTATTAATTTATTTCACTAATGAATAAATACATATTTCAGTATTAAATGAGTATTTGGTAATTTATTTCCTTTGTTAGTATCTATTTATTTCAGTTAGTTGACAAGGCAACCTTTCTAATTTTCATTTAAGTTTTTTTAAGTTTAGCATTGGAGAGAATGAGGATTGGGTGATGGTCCATCAGCTGGCCAACGAGCCTGATGCTCGCTCTCTGGAGGTCTCCGGCCTCAACCCCTACACCTTTTATAGGTGACACATACATTTATTTATATCTTACATTAATAGATTATTAAATAAGGCCTTGAGGGTGTGAAAGAAGAGTTCGTTCCTGTCTGACAGGTCTCCTTGAAATTAAATCACAAGTGGTCAGAAGAGACACATTTGAGCAGTGATTGGTCTCGCTTGACGACTTATGCTATTTTAGTATTATTTATATATATATTTAGTAAATTTGTCATTTGTTTTTTCAATTATTTATTTATTTATTTTTTATATTTCTGTACAGCTTTTCTATATAGTTTTAGTGATTTTATTACTTAATATTAAACTTATTCATTGCAGCAAGTTGACAAGGCAACATTTCTGTAGCTTATTTATTTAATTGAAATAATGTTGAAATAAAATTGAATAAAATAAAAATATTACATGAAAAATGAAAATTAAACAAAATTAAATCACACACACACACACACACACACACACTTTCTTTCCCAAAATGCACTGACTGCTCTAAAATATGAGGGACAAATGTTTCAGGAGTTTAGGAAATTTTACATTTAAGTTTTATTCATTTTGTCATGGGTTTTTATCATTTTTATTGTACTTTTATATAGTATTTCTATGTAGATTTAATTCATTTTTATTTCAGTTTTTGTGATGTTAGTATTAATTTATTTCACTAATGAATAAATACATATTTCAGTATTAAATGAGTATTTGGTAATTTATTTCCTTTGTTAGTATCTATTTATTTCAGTTAGTTGACAAGGCAACCTTTCTAATTTTCATTTAAGTTTTTTTAAGTTTAGGATTTTAATCTAATGTTTATATTAATTCATTTTTTTTTTATTTAAATTTTATTTTAGCTTTATTTCCATTACTTAAAATTATTTTGAATAGTTTTACGTTTAGTTTTAGTTAACAATAACAACACTGCTTATTATTAGATCACACAAGGCGGATGTTAATGTAAAGCAGGCCATTGAGATAAGTGTATAATGGGATTTGCAGGTTCCGTATGCGTCAGGTGAACATAGTGGGCACCAGTCCTCCCAGCCAGCCTTCCAGAAAGATCCAGACCCTGCAGGCTCCTCCTGATATGGCCCCTGCAAATGTCACCCTGCGGACGGCCAGCGAAACCAGCCTCTGGCTCAGATGGGTGGTATGTTCTAGAATCTAAGAAATAGACACATACAGTGTGTCGCATTGAGACTGTGGCACAAACTCAATCTCTCTCTTTTTTTCGCCTGTTGATCAGCCTCTTCCTGAATGGGAGTACAACGGGAACCCAGATTCGGTGGGTTACCGTGTGCAGTACAGCAGGACTGGAGCTCAGTCCAAAGCCCTGCTACACGTCATCGCAGACCGCCTGGAGAGAGAGTTCACCATCGAGGACCTGGAGGAGTGGACGGAGTATGAGGTCAGAGTTCAGGCCATCAACGGCATTGGAGCAGGACCTTGGAGTCAACCTGTACGGGGAAGAACCAGAGAGTCCGGTAAGGACAAACCAGTCATTTTGTATGTATGTATTTTATTAGATTTAATGTATACAAACAGATTTGTTTACTATCTTTTAATAAGGACATAAATTATAAACATTAATAAATTATTATTAGTAGTATTAGTAGTAGTAGTAAACAATAGGCATAGGTCTCATAATGTAAGTAATAAAGTATTGAATTGCAATAAAAAAACGTGCACAAGTCACATAGTTCATTCATTTAAAAATATTAGATATACAAATAAATGTAAAATTGAAATAAATGTAAGCTGATGTGCTTAACTCAAACTAGAACTGAAATAAAAAAAAATGTTTCTATCTAAATAGCACATAACAAATTATTAAAACTAAAATTAAAATGAAAACTAAAAATATAAATATATAATTCAATATATTAATGAATACTGTAATAGCATATAAATAATACTAAATTAACACTGATATATTGGCTATTTTATAGCTTCAAACGTCAGATTTTGGAGTCGGAACTGTCCATTTTATAATATGGAATGGAAAAAAATGTACATTGATCACATGTTGAGGTTAATGCATGTCTTAAATCATTTATCATATATAGTACGTGGGCACAGGATTTCCTGTTTAAACAGTCTTAAATGGGCACATATCTGCACATTCTGTACATGCAAGGCTTTTCATTCCTCCTATCCCATGAAAAAGAAGCAAACCCGACTTCCTCTGGATCATCCGTTTTTCTCCTTCTGCTCAGCTTCTTCTCCATGGTTACCAGAATTCAGGGAAACAGGTTTGGGATTAATAAGTGGGTGTTAAGGAAATTGGTAACACATGGGGCTGTACACATGACTCCCCTGTTGTTTCTTTAGCCAATCAGATTCCTGCAATCATGCACTCTGTGTCCGGGGATTTGTGCCAGAGAGTGATTCTCTGTGTTACTCCCCCAATAATGGTCAAAATCTGGTGTCTTTCAAGCCCCACTGCCTTTGTGATATGTGTCCGGCTATCAGCACACACTTAATCCCCCCCTACCCCCCACCCCCTACACACACACAGACACACACTCATATAAATAAGGCACATATTTCAACCCCATTAAGGACTTGGAATGCATAGACGTATTCAGAAAGGCTAATTTAGCCTTATATGCCTTTAACGAACACATTCATCTGTATGAACCCTTCTATCTTCCTTTGTTTTAATGCAGTCCCCTCTTGTGGCCCCACAAATGTTTCTGCATTTGCCACTACCTCCAGCAGCATTCTGGTCCGCTGGTTTGAAGTTCCCGAACCCGACCGGAATGGACTCATCTTGGGCTATAAGGTCTGTGAGCACTTTCAAGTGAAAAAAAAAACACCATTCATTAAAACTATAAGCTGCGGTCATTTGTAACTTTAATGTTCAAGGCTATTTTACCTGTACTAAAACTGCTTATATTGCAAACTGATATTTTGTTATCATTTTATTTTAACTTCTTTTCCTAATCATCAGACTGGTTTGTAGCACAAGTAGCTTGACCATTTACTGAACCTTGTTATTCTTTTAGTTATTCACCTAATGAATCGGAAGTCTCGCACATTCAAAGAAAATAGCTTATTTCCGCAACGCAAAATAAGGTTGATACAGTCTCTTTTTCACTTTCAGGTGGTGTATAAGGAGAAGGATTCAGACTCTCCTCTACAGTTCTGGACAGTGGAAGGAAATGCCAGTCACAGTGTTCAGCTAACCGGACTAGGCAAGTATGTTCTGTACGAGATCCAGGTGCTCGCCTTCACCCGCATCGGAGACGGCCGACCCAGCTCTCCTTCAATCCTGGAGCGAACCCTTGATGACGGTGAGCATGACAGTACACAACAAATAAATAGTTGCCTTATTAAATAATCAGATGTGTCTTTAAAAGTTCATGATGTTCTTTTTTCAGTGCCCGGGCCGCCTGTCGTCATTCTTTTTCCTGAAGTCCGGACCACCTCGGTCAGACTCATCTGGCAGCCACCTTCCCAGCCCAATGGCATCATACTGGGTACAAGAGTTTGTTTACTTGTTTGTGCATTTGAGTGTGCATGCATTTCTTTTTTCTGGCTTTTATACTCAAATGCTTGTCTTCTGAATGACGTCTTTTTACCATCATGAGGTTAAACATCCCTGAATACTTTCAGTAGTGACTGTTAATGGATCCTACATGTGCAAATATACACAAAAATGTACAAATATCACATTAAAAGAATTTATCCTGTTTTTCACCTATACTTACACTACCTTTCAAAGTGTGGGGTCTGTATGATTTTTCATTGTCTTTTATGCTTACCAATGCTGCATTTATTTGAAAAAAAAAGTACACTAAAAGCTGAAAAATTATGAAATATTATTACAATTTAAAATAGCTATTTTCTATTATAATATATAGTAAAATGTAATTTATTCCATATTCCTGTGATGGCAAAGCTAAATTTTCTGCAGTCATTATGCCAGTCTTCACTGGTCCATCCATAATCCTTCAGAAATCATTCTAATGTGCTGATTGGTGTTCAAAAAACATTTCTTATCATTATCAATTTTGCAAACTGTTGTGCTGCTTAATATTTTTGTAGAAACTGTAATACGTTTTTTCAGGATTATTTGATCAACTGAAAGTTCAGAAGAACAGCATTTATTTGAAATAGAAATATTTTGTACTGTCACTTGTAATCAATTTAATGCTTTATTGCTGAATGAAAGTATTAATTTCTTTAAACAAAAAAAAAAAAACA